TCTTTCAAGCAAGGACATTGGATTTAAGTGTTTGTCTTTAGGCTGGTTAGTTGCAGGTATGAGTGGCACAGCAAAGCGAAGATGCCCTAGGTCAGCAATGGGAGACTGAAGTGCCTGTAGAATATCTGATCTCAACAAAGACCTGTGAAGAGATGCCAGATGTCTCTCTTAAAGTGATGGCCTCATACTGGGAATGAGTTAACCATTTAGATGAATGGAAGGCGAAGTTTGAGAGGACAGTTGGAGCAGCTAGCAGGGAAAGAGAAAAAGGATCTGTTAAGTGCAGGGTGATGTGAGGAGGAATACTGGAAGAGGAACGAAGAATCCATACTGCTGAAGGACTGAGACCAGTCAAATGGAATAAAGACTAACACACAGCCACAGTGTGACAGATGAGCAAAGGTAGGGGTAGAGGACAGGAGTATGGCAAAAAAGTCTTGTATTTTCTTATGAAGGACGTGAAAACCAAAGATGAGAAAGGGATTTATGAACTGAAAAGAACTGAAAGCAGGGTAGAACAGAAATCTGCAGTGCCTCAGTACAGAAGGGAAAACTAGACCACGGCTGGGAAAGGCAGCCTAGATAAATCAAGATGACTTGTGGTCGTTGCCATTTGTTTTTAGGTTAACAGAGGCTTGACTGAGAAGAAGGAGTGGTTCACATTACAGAAACCAGAGTGACAGGAGTAATATTATGAGATAAGTGTAGTGCAAGGGGACACATTTATGACCTGTACAATTCTCATGTATTTTTTCTACATTCTGTATTCTGTGTTCAGTACTTTTAAAATTCCAAAATGCTTCCATCATTGTATCATGAACAGAAGCTCTGGTGTTATTCCTTAGATAAATAAATAAAAGTTGACAATTACAAAAAGAAAAAGAATAATATATCAATTAGAATCATATTAAGAAAAATTATCCTAATGCTTTCTATGCACTGATATTGTAATGTTAGAAAATGTTGACCAAATAAGCCTATGTTGATAACTTAAATTATGTTAAATATATCATTCCAATATTGCTTACTTTCTATTTTAAATTTCTAAGTTTCCTATGATATACTTGCATCTCCTTATAAAGGTCAGTTTTCAGTTATATCTCTAATAATCATAAAACTATATATTTTTAATTTTATTGACATGAATAGAAAAAATAATTTCAAATTTATCAAGTAGTTTTAATCAAGTTATACAATTTGAAATAACAATATAATTAGGATCCCTTGGGAAGTTTCTGAAACAATTTTAACATCTTCATTAATTAACATTCTGAAACATATAATAATAATTAAGCATTTACCAGTAAAGAAAGCAGCTATTCTAAATAATACAAATAAGGGACAACTATGCTGTAAGATTGACACTTGCCTTGATTTTTAATTGATGAAAACCATCTATAAAACTTACTTTTCTAATGACTAAATTAGACCTTGGAAAGCCTCCACTTAGGTTATATACAGATGAAATGGAAAAAAAAAAAACCAACACAGTTCTACTTTTTCGTCCATTGTTTCGCAACCTTGAAGTCTTGTATAAACTAAGGTACTTTTTTACGAACATAGAAAGAAATCTAAATTCGACCAGCAGACTAACAGATTGCATGAGGACCTTTAAAACCAGCGACTCCAACCCACATGATCCCCTTCTGGAGAACCAGGAGGAGGGAGGGGGTAGGACAGAAGTTCTCAGACTCCAGGTACAAACCAGAAACTAGGACACTGACTTTTGTAATCTTGGCACCACAGGGCGGAGGATACCAAATGCTTCTGGGTATCACTTTATATCCAGAGGGACAGAAATCTGTTCCTCAAAATTAGTGGGGAAAAAAACCTCCACTGTTCAAGTGACTTCAATCACAGTACTTTTTCTGAGCAAATCAATCAGTGAGTCTGAATTCTAACCCCGAGCCCCTACCCCCACTACACTTTGAATTTTCAGGTTCAAAAAAGTGAATTCTTTTTCTTTATAAGAAATACAAATGGGGCAATGAAGGCTTTCAAAGAACAGATCACACGTAATCTTTCTTAACTAACCAACCACTTAACTATTCATAGCAATGTGCAGTCCAGACTTCTGCTACCTGGTCAGACACTATGCATGCTATTTCATGGGATAAGCCGATGTTTCTGTACAGTTTTAACAACAAATATGCCCTTGACAAGTATTTGCTAAATGCCTAATGTTTGCCAGGTGTTCGGGATATTTTAGCAAATAGAACAGTAATATGGTAGGTATATTCTGTTGGTGGGGCTGGGGTGGGGAGAGAACCCACAATAAACGTAGTAAATGAAATTGATTATAGCCTAGAAGATGGTATGTGTTATGAAAAAAGGGAGACACAGACTGCAGGAAGAGGGGTGCAGGGGTAGGTGTGGGGGTGATGCTGAGTGCACTGTAGTTTTAAACAGCCTGTGAATGCGATGCTTGCACAGCTGGTGATATCTGTGCTAGTGAACTCCTCTGTCTCTGGACACTGAAGTATCATCTTTCCTGAGAGGCTGACATGTCTGACAATGGGAAAAGAGTTCAAACATTTTCTTTTCATTTGTTTCAGTTGGCGGAGGTGATGAGTTCCCTATTTTTGGTGAACACATTTTCAAACAACGGCAACTTTAGGATACAGTATGGACTCCTAAATTTGGTCATCGGCATGGAATTAAGCCAAACTTGAATAAAGCTCACTGTGCAGGTCCTATGACTGAAAATTCAACACATAAATATGTAGCATAGTAAAGGCAGAGCTGCATGATATAAGTTAAAGACTTATGACAGCAAAGGCCGGTGTGCCTTTGTCCCTACCTTATTCATGGGACACCAACAGTGCTTAGCTCATGACATGATTCAATACGAGTGGGATGAATGAAGTGAGAAATGACTGTGGACAGAGAGGATGTGGTAAGTGAAGAGGTGTTTGAGATTTCAGGCCACAACATGGCCTGCTTGACCAGGCAGGCTGCTTGACCTCTTCAGATGCTCAAGGGACCTAATTTGACTTTGAATCCAACCGTTTTTTTAGAAAACCATATTATTATAATTTTAAAAGTACCAAATGTCTGCATATTGCATTTGAATAGTTGACTACACCTGTTCTTTTATTGCTGTATTTACTTATTTATTTTAAAAGGGTGCAGAGGAAGATATTTTTTAAGATTATATTTATTTATTTTTAGAGAAGAGGGAAGGGAGGAAGAAAGGGAGGGAGAGGAACCTCAATGCGAGAAACACTAATCAGTTGCCTCTTGCCTGAGTCCTGATGGGGGACTCAACCTACAACCCAGGCATCTGTCCTGACCCTGAGTTGAACAGGTGACTTTCTGCTTTGTGGGACCACGCTCGACTGAGCCACACCTCCCAGGGCTGCACCTATTCTTTCAGAAGAGGAGATGGGAGACAGGTGTGCTCAGGTGTGTTTTATTTTTCCACCTCCCTGCAGAGGCAGCAGCCTGGGCTGACAGGCTCGGGACAGCTGAGTAAAAGGCCTAGGCACCGGAAATCAGACCTCCAACAGCGACCAGGAATGTCCAACCTTTTGGTGTCTCTGGGCCAAAATGGAAGAAGAATTGTCTTGGGCTGCACATTGAATACACAAACACTAACAAAAACTGATAAGCAAAAAAAATCTTTTATAATTTTGTGTTTGGCCACATTCATAGCCATCCTGGGCCACATGTGACCCACAGGCCACACGTTGGACACCCTTTAGTCCATCTTCTACAACTGCCACGTGGACCAGGAAAGTCCTCTCACGCCCTGGAAGTTAGGATGAATATCTCGCCTAATGCCAACTCTGGAGTGGTCGTGCTGCAAAGGAACAGGCCTCAGACACCACACGGGAGTGGAGACCAGGAGAGCAAGGGCCAGGTCTGGGAACGTGTCATTTACTAAGTTTTCAAATGTCATCTGCAGCTCAATATTGCCTTTAAAATGTTTTTTAAATACCTGTTTTGTTAACTGATTAGCAGGCTCTGAGCTACGATTCTGTGAAATGACATGTTCAAAGCTGTGGCTGTCTTCTCCCCTGTGAAAATGGAGCATTAACGGACCGGTCCTCGGTGCCCTCTGTGCGACAGTAGTTAACCGAAGGCACAGACACACCACCTTTAGAAATCTGAATCCTACAAAGGTTTGTTATTATTTTTAGTTTTCTGTATATACAAGCTTCTTTAGGGCAGAAATCATATTTTTTCAGCTTCTAATTGTATGAAACTTAACAAATGGCAGCTAAATGAAACAAAAAAATGAAGAAATTCAATGTTTCACTTTGTTAGCAATGTTCAAATGGAAATTATCCAATAAAACTATGAATTAGAAATTATGACCAGCATGCATGACAAGCAGAGAATTAGGGAGGGCAATTATATAAAAATAGGCACTTATCAATGGCCTAAATTTTCCAGACTAGATAACTAGTTTGACCATATTTAGTATACAATTGCTCAATTTCCTTCCGGTCTACAGAAAACATTTTAATGATTAAAACGTATATATACCACATAATAGTGTTTATTAATGAACTGGCTTTAAAAAGGGACTTATGAATGAGAAGAGTTAAGTAACATGCTCAATATTAAATAAAAGATTTACAGTAAGAGACAAAAGGAGACATTAATAACATATTACTCATTTACCTGATATGCTGACAGTTATACCCTCAATTTATATAATTATGACAACATAAAGAAAAATGTTTATGAAGAAAGGTAATTTATAATGTAAAACAAATGGCCTTAGCATGTCCACTATGAGCAAATGCTGAAACATTACCCATTTACTGAGTATTAATAAAGTCTAAAAATCTACAATTAAGTACGTAAAAAAGAACTGCTTCCTAGACCTAGGAAAGATAATACCCAGCCCGTAGTTTGATGCATAATCTGCCTTTTCAGTAATTTTAAAGTGTTTCTCAATACCCATGCCACACATATTTGGATAACTTTTCTTCATTTTTTAGAAGTAGAGAGGGTATTCTATGGCTTCCTAATGAAAAATAAATGAGTACCTGTAGAATTGCAACCTCATTACGAAGCTGGCTTTCTTGTTTTGTCGGAAATCTTAATTTGTCAATGATTTTAATAGCTACATCTCTTCCTGTTTTACGATGTTTTCCTTTAAAATAAAAAAGAAAAATATTAGTATGATGTTATTAAATATCTATATTAAAGAACTTCAGAATTCATAGCAACGCTTATAGAAATCGTAACAATGTTTCACTGAATAAATTAACATTTCTGATGTGCATTAACTTATATCCATAAAGATTTCATTTCTTGGCTTCATTATTCTAAATCCTACATGTACTATAAAATTAGCCACAATTTAAAACACAAAAAATTGGAACATTAAAGCTGTATGTATTAATAGCCTGTTATTTTCTCATAAAAACATATGATTTAGAAACAGGATACTGAGCTATTTAATATAGAAAATACTCATACCAACAACACAGTGCTCTTCTTAAGTAAGTGTAATGTTAAGTTCCTCATAAACTAATGTGTATTATAATGAAAAGAGTAAAAATCTTGGCTCTGTCACTCACTAGCTTTGTGATCTTACGCAAATCACTTAAGTTTTCTGAGTTTAAGGTACCTCATCTTCATGACGTGGTTGAGAGAATTAGATGAAATGAGATAGGTAAAGTACACACAATTTCCAGGTAACTATATACACTCAAAAAAGGTTAGTTATCATCATCACTGTCATCATCATTATGACATTATAGGCCATTTGGCTACAATACATTCCGCTCAGTTTTCACAACAACCCTTTGATGGAATCTGTAGGGCACCCTTATACTCTCAACTTCTACATTACTCTATGCAGTACGTATAGAATAGAGTAGTGTTAACTGAATGCAAACATGAAAATGAATTTGAAAATAAAAATGGGCCTAATTACTCAAATTCTTTTGTCCCATACAAACTAACCTGAAATTCCATTATTTCAACATTTGTTGCAAATCTTTTGTCTCTACTCCTCCGTCATTCAAGTGGGCGACCTCTCTTCCGAGACTCTGTCCTCATCCACTTCTTTCTCTACTTGTCTAGTCTTCACCCCTCCATCTGCCTGGTGGAGGCCTCCTCCTAAGTCTGCTCCTTCAGTGTTGGCTGTGGCAAACTACCTGGCACCCGCTAGTGTCTCTGACCTCACTTTCCACACCTGCCTCACCCTGCCTTATGTGCAGTTAGGGAAATTGACCATGCTCTCCATACCACGATTTACCTTTGCATTCGATAACTACACTGTGGAGCGATACTCTGCGCTGCACTTGGTGTCGCCTATTACACTCTTATGTGTTACCGGAAAGCACAATGGTTGCTGACTCACTGCAAGGTGTGCCATAAAAAAAAATCATCTGAGTATTTTGTAAGAATCAAAATTCCTTTGTAAAATATAGTAGAACTTGATTAATTTTTAACTGAAAATAAAATATTATAAGTAATACTGAATAAGACACTGCAGTTGTTTCAGAGCATCCCCACCTCACAAAAAAGATAATTTGTTACTGATTATATTAGGGAAATAAAAGTTATGATGTCCTTTAATAGAGTAGTTAAAATAGGAACACTAAGTATTTCTTAAAGACTTGAAAAATATAATAGAACTGGCTAGAACCTAAAACAGCAGTGATTTAAAAAATTACTAAATAAGCTTGACAATAAGAAAAAATGAAAATTTAGTATTTCATTTCAAAAATTTTAAAAATTTAAACATTCACAAAATACATATGTTGTTAAAGGTATTAGAATTGAAAGATTTTTTTTTTGGTGTTTAGTTACTTGATTGAATTTCTACAGAGTTCTGACAAAATAAGCTAAAAGAAAATTGAACTAATTTGTTTATAAATGACAACATCCTGGTTTCTCAACATTATGTCTGAAAAAACAATATTTAACCAGTTCTGTGTGCAGTTTGTCTATATTTAAGCAAAAAAAAGATTTTTAGGAATAGAAAAACTTCTTTTTCAAAACGTGAAAGTACCAATTTTCCAAATACTGATTATTTCAAGAGAAATATCTAAAAATGGGAAACAGATTTATATACAACCATATATACACAGGTCTTGTCTTTTATATATTTTCTTGGAGATATTACTTTTATAAACACAAGTAGCTAATTTTTAAATTAATAAAAATACTTAGTGAACTAACCTACCTCCGTAAACAATTCCAAACTGCCCAGAACCCAGCACTTCATCGGGGAAAATCTGATACACCGTGCTGATGTCCTACAGGTGCAAGTCCAATGGAAAACACACAGGAAGTGGGACAAAACGTTAGTCCTAACAAATCTTATGACGTTGCTAAGCACATCACACTGTGGCTAAGTATATCATACAATATTAAAATATTTAATAAATATTTTAAATACTGCAAACACTAGATGAAATCTGCCATAGGACCATAATATGCAAAATATAATCTTCAATTAATGTAATATTGTAATGTTTTGAAAACTATTCTGCTCTTAAGCACCTGAGTAATGTCCATGAAATATGTCTCATTAGAGATAAGTAAGACTTATGATTACAGAATTATCATTTATTGTCTATATTCAACAAAGGATTTGCTTATCCAGATGGCTATTTAGAAATATGGGTTAAATACTCATAAATGTGGGTCAGTCCTAACTCCAACCAGTCCACTCTTCATGGCTAGAACGGTGAGGCTGCCTCTTACCAGCCACCACGTCCAGGTGAGTCTGAACTCAGAGGAGGGGAGCGGAGCCACTGTGAGTGAGCAGCAGACCTGGAGGGGGGATGGCGCTGCACCATGAAACTCACCTGTGAGGTCACTTAAATCCTCCCATTCCACCGCTTCTGGAGGTAACAAGTCCCAAATGTCTACTCTTTCTCTCTTTGAAATCATAATTGCTAAATAAAGTATAATGTTTTAGTCTATGTTTTATAGCCTGTGATTTGATGACCACATATATTAAACTGCAATGCAATTCCTTGCCACTGTGCATATTTCTGTTACATCCTACGGAATCTTCTGCCTACCCCCCACTCATAGTCTCTTTGTCCTTTGAAAAATAAGTCCTTTTACATCGAATCCTACCCTCCTTATATCCTACATGTTCCTAGCCTTTTCTTTTGTTCTTTCCCCTAGAAAACAAGTTGTCTCTATCCTGTGACCCCTTCAGAGTGTTTATGGGGTGAGTTCAATGTTACCTGAAGATAAGAAAGTGAATTAATTCTACTCCAGCACCTGAGTCCAAGCTAGTCCATCTTTCTCTGATAGCTCAATAGCCCACCCAGACTTTTTAGTGGATGATTGTGGCTGAACAAGGAGGAACAACCCCACCGGTATCTAGAATTTCCCTAAGGCATGTAAGTTAACCTGTATTTCTCAGAGTATTCTCTGGCAAAGGCAACTATCATGTGATCGACAGCATAAACATTCATCTAATCTTCACTATGAAATTCTTAATTCTCTCCAATCTTTGGATTTCAGTTTATGACAATTTAGCAAAGGTTACAAGGCTATACTAAAGATAAAGAATTTCATGGAGTTTATTCTTTAGAAAACTAACTCATATCAGTGTAAAGCTGAAAACTCTCTGCTTTTGGTTACAGGTAAAGCAGGCAAAGACAGCAAAAGGTCTGAGTCACAGGATGAGGTGAGAAAGGCCTTGCTACTTCTGGGCAACTTGCCATAGTGACAAAGGGCAACAAATAGAGCGAACAGATGACAGAGTGTAAATTATTTCATATTATGTCTGATCTGTAATTTTCCAACTGAGCCTAAAGGGTAGCATTAGCTGGCCCAGGTCACATGGATGCTAGAGTGTAGACCCATAAAATCCAATGTATGCAGCTTTCTGGGGGCCCCTTGACGTGTTTAAGTGACTGTAAGAGCATCTGCTACTCCTCGTCACAGGAAAACACCCCCCAGGGCTCAATCAAGAAATGACAATAAGGGCATGTGTAAGCAAGTCATGCAACTCAAAAAATTTATCTTCTTTGGTATTTTGTTATATGACCCATTAAAATTCTAGTACCAAGATGGGCAAATGTGTGAAAAATCAGGATTGCAATGTAATTGCTTCTCCGAGATGAGAAATAGGTATTTAGCTCTCAACACTACAGTATAGATTATAGAAAAATCATCAAAAATACATATGTTTATGAAATCTTATGGAAGAAAAGTACCCAGATAAATGCTATTTTATTTTTTAGAAAATACCAAAAAATTAAAATGGTAGGTAAGTAAAACTGCATTTTAAGATGCCCTTACTTTCCAATTAAAACACATTACCAAGTTTTATATTAGTAAGTACATACTCACCACATTTTCTTGAATCTGGCAATTTGATACTGAAATACTCACAGAAATATCTCCTGGAAATACAAGTTAAAAAAAAAAAGAGGTAAGAGAGTTAACAGCATAACAGGTATATACATGCTTACTAATCAAGCTGGAGGCTATCTTTCAATCATAGCAATTAAATTTTTCTATAGAAATGTCTATTAGACTATCTTTCATTTTACTTTTATACATTTACTCAGTACTTGGCTTTGAAAAATAATATATTCTTAGTTTACAGTTCAGAGTGAAGTTCAAATACTGGCTTGCCACTTTGTAGTTCCCAAGCTGAAATAACTTAATCTCTCTAGGGCCTAATTTCCTCACCTGTAAAATAAGCAAATCATTAATATCTAGGCATTAAATTAGAGACCTTATGTAAAATTCTTAGCACCAAAATAGGCATATATATTTTATTAATATATACATTAGCTGGAAGATCAATTAAGAAGTTGTGAGAGATCATCAGATAATACCCTGATATGAAAAACAGAAAGTCTTTCCCACAGACTCCATTCTTGACAGCTGTTGTGAAATTTAAAATTACATTCAGAGAGCCCTGGCTGGTGTGGCTCAGTGGATGGAGTACCAGCCTGTAAACCAGAGGGTCGTAGATTTGATTCCCAATCAGGGGCACAAGCTTAGGTTGGGGGCCAGGTCCCCAGTGCTGGGCATGTGAGAGACAACCACACATTGATGTTTCTCTCTCTCTCTTTCTCCCTCCCTTCCCCTCTCTCTAAAAATAAATAAATAAAAAATAAAAAATTAATAAAATTAAAACTGCATTCATATACATACATATACATATACATATACTTGTGTATGTGTGTATCTTCCTGTCAGATATTTAAAAAAATTCACCTTGATATTTGATCCTGGTCCCATTTTCATAGAATCTACCTCACTCTACTAATGACACAGATTTGTTCCTGGGATATAATTTTCAAGACTTTCCAAGTACTCTGCACACCATGTACACACAGAGTAGCATGTTATGTGGTTTTCAGGAAACATGTTAATGCAGATTTGCAAATAGCAAGACTGGCATTCTACGTCAAACTCAAGGACATTTTGTATTTTATGACCAATGGCTCTAGATTTCTGCTATTACCTAACATTTGGGTTTACACAAACTTGCTCAAATTTTAATATAAAATAAAAATAAGAATCTAATGAATATCTAAATATGTTTCATGTTATCAAAGAAACTAAACCGCCCCCCAGAAGGTTCTCTGCTCCTGCTCCACTGACAGAAAAGCAGCAGACTCACTGTGAGAGTTGGTCCCTGAGCCCACGGCCGAGCCCTTCGGGATGACGGGCATGAGGGCGTGCTGGATCGCCACCTCCCACATCCTGGCCACGTCTGCGCCCACGCCACTGGTGAGGACGCTGCCGCCAGGGGGCGGGCTGGCAGGGTTGACCACGTTCTCGCCCACGTAGTACACTACATTTGCCGTAGTGATCTCAAAGCAGTGAGGATTGGCCCCGCTAGGGATTAAAGCTGAAGGTTTTGCTGGTTCCAGAGATAAAATTTCTGATAAAGGAATTTCCTGTGGAAGAAAGAGTGTGCCCATTGTAGTTTACCAAAAACATGTAAACTTTCAAATAACATGCAAACTGGGAAGACGGAAAGGACATTACAAATGGCCGTCATTTATATAAAATGGTTTTGTAAAATACAGACTATTACTAAACAAAATTTTAAAATACCTTTGCTGGGAGAAACCTAATCATCGTATTTTCCCAGAAAATTTTAAGTTATTTTTTTCCCTGTGTTCATGAGGCAAGAATAAATATCAACAAGAATAATGATTTTTTTGAGCCTGCTTCAAAATCTGACTTAGAACATAAATGACAATTTTTATAACAAGTGAGGCAGAATTATGACACTTTTGAAATGCATTTAGGTATGCATGGCTGTTTTTAAACTTTAACAGTTCTTTAAAGCACTGGAAATGATTCATATAATTTGACTTGATACATGTTAATAGAAAAATATAGCCAAGTGAGTAGTTTTAATGAGGAAAACCACAGTGACTGGTTTTAAAAGCAGTTGCTTTAAGTACACTTTTAAAATTAAAAAACTCATCACCACACTGTCTTCCAGGAGGTATGGAGTGACTAAGACATAATAACTTTCAAACTATATTTTTATTTAAAAAATTAATGAGGTATCCTTTTTCCATTAGGGCTGTGTGCAGTGGTCACGGAGAACCACATCAGCTAAGCCTGAGCCTGCACCAGTCTGAAGGAGCAAAAGTATGAACTGTTTTCACTGTGAGCTGCTCGTGGAACCATGTTTTACTGGGTGATCCATTGTGCTACATCTGCAGTATTTCATGTGGACAGACAGAATGAAAATTGCTGCCAAGTTTCTCCCTAGAGCAAAGTGCTCATTATATGAATATTGTCAATGCATGGAGAAATCAATGAGGTTCCTTAGCCACTGCTGGGGATGTTACAAGGGTATAGAGGGAGAAAAAAAGCAGAAGAAACAAAAAAGCTAGATATAGTGGATTTCAGAAATTTACCGTTAGCCAGTCTGCCGTGACCTTGCATTTTGTTTAAATCACACACCTCTGCTAAAATGCTCCATTAGCTTGCCCCCTCCTCCCATGGGACCAGAGCAATCCCCAGGGAAATCTGACATTTGCAGATGGCTATCCTGGGTCACAGCCTGAGTCCTCCAAAATTTAAAAACAGAGAAGGAAAAAATGTCTCTCGGAGCAAGCACAAAACCAGTCATGTCTGTTGGATTACTTTGCATTTCGGATACTTGACATTCCCAGGTAGAGGGGCAGGACTCCACAATCACGGGAAGAGCCATCCCTACTTACCTTGTAGTACCTGCTCCCTGTGTCATTTTGAAAGAGGGTAATACATTTGCTATCCAGTCTCCAGTAGTGCCGTTTCCGCTGAAACACAAGTTAGATTCAGGATCTTTTACAAGCTTTAACAACACCTAATGTTGATAAAATAAAAACATTTCCAAATGGGGACAAGGTTTTACAATGGTAAGTGAGTGGAAAGCTCACACTCAATTTCATACCCCAGAAGGTGGCTCTTCAGCAAATGTGCGATAGGTTTCCACATCTATATCAGAGTTGTGAGTAATAAAGGAGATGACGTATTATTAGTACCCAGCACAGGGCCTGACATTTAGTACATGCACAGTAAATAGAAAATACCCTTTTTAAGTTTATTTGCCTGCTTCTAAATGTGGATTTGCAGTCTGTAACAAAGGCGTAGCAGGAGATGCAGTGTTGATACATTCTCAGTGTTTTAGAACATAAGAATGCTCTAAAACACTCCTGAACGTAAACACCTGCTGATCCAGCCAGGTGTCCTGGCTTCCATTAGAGACGGAAGAATTCTGAAGGTCACAAGAGAACTATGGAACATTTTGTTGGAGGGCAGGATTGACTGCCTGGCACCAAAATCAGGAAAATGCATCAGATAACTTGACCTTCTCCTAAGCTCTCTATAGATCTTTAATATTCTCTGATGTGATGATCAGGCCCTTCTTCATCCTAGGTACATCCTCCATTTTAGTGTGTGTGTGTGTGTGTGTGAGAGCATGCGTGCTACCATCCTTTCAGACAAAAAACCCTAACATTCTTGGTCTCTTCTACAACCTTAGACCAGTCAAATACATAAAATATGCTTTAAATATATTTTTAAAGATTTTATTTATTTATCTCTAGAGAGGAAGGGAAGGAGAGAAGGAGAGAAATATCAATGTATAGTTGCCTCTCGTACGTCCCCTGCCGGGAACTGGCCTGCAACCCAGGTATGTGCTCTGACTGGGAATTGAACCTTGAGTGTGTGGTTCGCAGGCCCACACTCATCCACTGAGCTACACCAGCCAGGGCTGCTTTAAATATTTTATAGCATGTCTAGGAGGAGCTGTATGGTGTTCAGCTGAGTCGTGCATGAAGTCACATAAATCTCTCTCCAGCACAAAAGATTGAAATGATAAATTATTAGGGTACAGGTGTCTATCATGTGATGAAATAATGGGTCTCCTACAGAAAGGAGGTAATGTGAAAAACACTACCAGTAACTGAGAAAAATGCTTATCATCCAACGTCAATTCATTTAACTTTAAAACATGGATCAAATTTTTCTCTTATCTACATGTAAAACTTTGTTCACCAACTATCAGGAAATTTTGGAGCACTGAGCAGCTCAGACTATATTAAAAAACTAAAATGTGTTGTTTTCTACCTAATATAGTATAGGATTACTGTGTTTCTCGGGAGAGCTGTTTTTGAGTGAAAACTTAATTAAGGATTTAAGAAGTATATATAATAGTTATCATTGTTTTTCCCCCCTAAAATGCAGTACTGTTTAAAAAAGCTCTGAATCAAAGAGGAGCCTTCTGAAAGCATATACTGTCACTTTCACAACTGTAACAAAATGCCAGGTGGACATTCAAGTTGTCTGAAGATCGTCTCCAGTAATAGAGGTAATGACTTTGTCTCCCTGAGGTGGCTGTGCACACTTTTGTCTAACCGCACCGCTTGCTCAACCACCTCTGACCCCCAGAGACTGCGAATGCGCTCCACAGGCCCCACGGCACACCTGCAGTGAGGTTCCCTCCGGGGAACTCAGAAGACGGCCCACAGTCTTCCCAGGCCATTAGTGACTCCCAGCAGGAGCAATGCCAGGGATCTCTTGCTGTAGATCTTACCAGTGTGTCCTTGCTGGTGCAGTGGACCATCCACCCTTCCTTCATCACCGTGCTGCTTTTCCTCTTCGTGTGTTTGACAGACTGCACTACTCTCATGAGCGGGATATTGTTGCTTGTTGATGGACTTGAAAGTCAAAATATTTGGGGAAAGAAATGTTTTTAGAAAGAGAGCTTTTCCTGCATAAAACTTCATTTCAGCCATTTCAAAGTAGAAGCAAAAAAAAAATTCAGATCCCATTTTTTTGTTCACAATATTCTTTTGTTTATGGTACAGATCTACGCTTATGCCCACTTTACCATTTTTATTTTCATATTCTTTTTTTCTCTTTTATTTTGTCTTGATCAATCTTGTTGAAGGCATATCAAATTGATTAATATTTTATTTTTTCAAAGTTTCAACTATTGGCTTTGCTATTATCTCCTTTCTACATTAATTTTAAAAATTATAATCAATACGGTTTTTGTCTGTATGGTTCTTTTCTTTTTTCTTTCTTTTTAAAAAAAATTTTTATTTAATTATTGTTCAAGTACAGTTTTCTGTCCAGATTCCATTTTTAATGAAATGTACTGTCAGAGTAGCATGGTTCAGCACCTGGATGACCCTGAAGAGTGCTATGCATTTTATATGTACGTTTTAAAAATCCCAAGGCAGGATAATAAGTGCCTTAGACTTCCGATTAAACTATATGGTGTTCAGTTTTTGGGTAGATATGAGATAGATTACTGTCTTAGTGGACCGAGGCCACAGTATCTAGAATCACATATGAATTTATTTTGCTTACTTATTACCTATTGTAGGCAAAATAGTAACCATTTGTAGATAATAGCATTTCATATGAATTTGAGTCTCTCTGAATAATTTCATAAAAATTAAAATATACCATTGAAACTGTTTTTTGAATAACTGTTGTTGATGGACCCATGCCGGTCCTTTACCTGCTTCTCTCTCCTTTCTGTCTGTCCTCTCTTTCTGTCTGTCCCCTCTGCTCCCTGGCTCGCCCTGCACACACACATGCAGGCACAGGCCCTTGGAGCTCCCCTCTCATACTACAGAAATGCATGCCTTCAAAGGGCAGCTGGCCAGAGGACTAATATTTTCCGGTATTTTAGAAATGTGCTGTATTCCATTAAATGAAAAAAAAATTAATTATTTTATTGCTTTTCTCTAATGAACAATTTCAGTTTGTCAATGAATATAGCATTTGTAAAATGGACACAAAAGTTTAAATGAATAAGAGACTGGGAAACTTTTTCTGTAAAGGACCGGGTAATATATATTTTAGGTTTTGCAGAATACTGGACTCTGACAATTGTATTGCAAATGTAAAATGTAGTCATAGGCAACATGAATGGGTATGGCTAGGTTCCAGTGAAACTCTATTACCAAACAGGCAGCAGCCTGGTTTAGCTGTGGTGTGCTGACCCCAGATATAAAAAATGGAGATCATCTCGTAATTTGAAAAGCACAGAGGACTAGATCACAAATGGAAAGCTTCACATACTTCTGAAATAAAATCATGTACAATAGGGTGTAGGTGTATGTGATATTTGCAAGAGGGGTCAGCTCTAAAATAAGTGGTGTCTGCTGAGGTGTGTCCCTGATCTTTGTATTTTCCACACAGTGAGCATTAAACATACATCAATTCAGTAGCAAATGTGTGGAGAGCAAGTATGAGAATCCCTCACATGGAAAACAGAACAGGTCACAGAACGAGGTGATGCTAGGAAAGGATGCACCCACCCATGGGGGTCCAGACCTCCTCACTCCAAGGGCTCTCCTCTGTCCTCCGGGGCAGTTAGGCACACACTTGAACTTCATTTTTCAGGAGATTAAGATATCAAAGAGCTTTCAAATATGCCACTTGGCACTCCCCTGTCGGACTGAGGCAGGAATGCGGCCCTCACCTGATGGTCCTGTTGGAGTCCTCGTGGTCCGGGTCCGCGTCCTGCATTTCCCCACTGTCGTTCTGACACTCAGCCATCACCATCGCCACGTCTTGGACCATTGCCTCTTCCATGTCATCCATGAGCCCACTGTTCCTTTCACTGTCATTGTCATCACTCCCTTCTTCCATGACCACGTCAGACTCTGCGCCAGGGCTAAGCAAATCTAAAACATTGTTTTGCACCCGTGAATATAAGCCTGAAATCCTGGAGCCAGGCTTAACAGAAAGTTAGGCAATCCTAAAACAAATCAACCAGAAGCCCTAAAAACTAGTTATTTAAAGAATTTATCTTGCCTTTAAAAACATTTTAGTTCATAAGTAGTATCTGACGTTATGCCAGGATGAATATACAGGGGTGGGCAAAAGGAGGTTTACAGTTGTGAGCCCACAAACGGAGTTAAAGCTGCTGTGATAACCATTACCTTCTTCCATACGAACAACTGCAAACCTACTTTTGCCCATCCCTGCACAATTTTATAGGCAGATGCTTATTTTTCATGCCCCTAAGCCTAAAACCATGAAAGTCACAGACAGCCTTGGAAGAAAGCCAAGGATGGGATGAGGGTGGATAGAAATACTAGGAAGCAAAATGATACCAGACACAAAGGAGCAGGAAGCTCGTAGTATTGCAGTTTCACAGCCCTGGTGGGAAAAAAGAGATACTTGGGAAGATGAGGGAAAACTTTCACATGCACTGCTACTCAGGGTCATTGATTCTTGCTCTTCAGTAACTTTTTTTTTTAAGATTTTATTTATTTATCTTTAGAGGGGAAGGGAAGGAGAGAGGGAGAGAAACATCAATGTGTGGTTGCCTCCCGTGCATCCCCTGCTGGGAACTGGCCTGCAGGGAACCGGCCTGCAACCCAGGCATGTGCCCTGACTGGGTCTTCAGTAACTTTTTAAGTCATGAATTCCAATATATTACATTGGCCACATAACAAGCATCTTTTAAATACCCAAGATATTTGGTATTTGAAGTTAAACTAACTACTATCAACTCAGTTGATAGGAATGCAATAAATTATAATTACTTATTGATACAGAGAACTTATTTTTTTAATTAAACAATAAATTGATTAGAGACCTCAGCCTGCCAAACTTGGAAAATTCACATTTTATGAAATTTTTCTGGCTGTCTGGGAAAATGCAATTTCAAAGTAATCAACACTATCCAAAACTATGGTGTTTCCCCTTAGTTGTAGTTATCAAGAGCACACTGACATTTTCTGGGCCTGAACAAAGCCAATACCACATGCCACAGACAGTGGGAAAACTGCCAAACTTTCTACTTTGGCAGCTAATTCATGCATAACTCTCCAAGACACAGACTAATATAGGAATGTATTCCTGGAGAGAATTCCCTTCTTCTTTTTCTACTAGGTATGTATTTCTTCTACCGAAGACAGTTATAGAAGAAAGATACTCACTTGATCTTCAGCGTTTTAGCAAAAAAAAAAAAATTCAACTTGTTTCTTTGATCTTATATCACCATTTTTCTTTCCAGAGGAATCAGAAAACTGACATAAGACTGAAGGTATAAAATGGTCCACTATCTACGAAAAAACTTAGTCTAGGAGAGTTACTAAGTCAAATATTTTTCATTAGGAATACTACTTGAGAAGGAAACAGGAGCTGCTCCATTAAGACATGGAGTTTTTCTTAAGAGTCCTTCAAAATTAATTTATGTAGTTAGAGTTTTCCCAAAGGAATACTTCCAAGTGTAGAAAATGATATTTCTAATTGGCTGAATTAAAGTTCATTTTGTTACCAATAAGACTCAGGTTAAGAAGCACATATACAGGGTCTGGCACAAATAACACCCCCTTTTTATTACAAAATGTTTTGTTACAAAGTCATAAGCAAGTAATTCTGTAACATTACAATATCACACTGAAGCATACCATATGACATTTTAGCTGAAATGTTCAAATTAAAACTATAAATTATTACACCCATAGTATTACCCTACCAACCACACTTGAGCAGGTGTTACTTCTGCTGGACCCTGTATAATGAAAGAAGCTGAGCGGGAAGGAAGAGGGTGGGTATTTCCTGATGGGTCAGTCTGCATGAGTCTTCCCTTCTTTGACAAACAAGGAAGAAAAGTAAACTGTCTCAGTGCTTGGATTGAGAATGGAGGAAATGAGACCAACAGTTATAACCTGTAGGTATTCCAACATTTGCTAAAGTTCTGAACAAACTAGGATAGGCTATTAAAAAAGAGAACAGGAGCCCTGGCCAGTGCAGCTGGGTTGGTTACAGTGTCCGCTAGTCATGGGTAGGGGTGGGGAGGTCTGGGGATGGGTCCCAGTTGGGGCACTAGGAGAGGCCACTGGAAGGATATTTCTCTCTCACATTCATGTTTTTCTCTCTCTCCTTTCCTCTCTCTTTAAAATCAAGAAGCATGTCCTTGGGTGAGGATTAAAAAAGAGAGAGAGAGCTGGAGAAGAGATCCTGGAATCCTTGTTTTCAGTACTAGCTGTTCACAAGGTAAAAGCTTGAGAAAGTCTCTTTGTATCAGAACTCCATGAGCTAGAATGGATGCTTTTCTATAGTAAAGTAGAACTAACCAAGGCCATAATTCACTTTTAGCTGAGTACAAGTATCTGAGAGGGTGGGGTGGGGGTAGAGTAAAATAAAAAGGCAAACCAGTAGTTGACCCAATCTCTAACAGAGAAGCGGCACTGCCGATCTTTTACACACAGACGTGACTTGATTTTTTACGCACCTCCGTTAATGATCACTTCGCCGAGGCAGTTGTTCGGTACTTTTGGTGCACAGCGTTTATGACAGTTGAATCTGCAATCTAATCACAATGATTGGAAAAGAAAACAAATAAAAACCAAGAACTCATCAGCAAGAATTGGCTGGTGACAATTATTTGGCAGCAAGAGTATCCTCACCTTTGCACTGCAGGCCCTGCCGGAAGAGCCCCTTGAGGAGCTTCTTGCAGTACTGGCAGACGGTGGGCCGGGTGTACGAGTGAATGACGAACGTGTGCGGCACCTTCACCTTGGTCATCAGAATCTTGTCCAGCTGAATCGGTCGTCCGATGTATGACTGTGAATTCGACCTCTTCTCTCGACCGATAAATGACTCTGATGGTGACTTTTGCTACACGATAGAAAGACAATAAAAGACAATAAGATGGAAGAAAAAAAGTTGATGAGTATATTTACACGATAGAAAGACAATAAAAGACAATAAGATGGAAGAAAAAAGTTGATGAGTATATTTATGTACTTTAAAATCACATTCTGCTTTACTATCATGTTTAATAATTTGATCCTTAAGAACATGAGCCATATAAGCTAAGTCTATATTTCTGTTCATTAATGCAATTTATCAACCCTTTATTTCTTACATGAGTTACCTTGTTTTTATAGTTAGAAATGAAGAGAAATGGAGATCAGAATATTTGAACCTGATTTCTAGAACCTGCAAAAATCCTTGGCTTCTAAAAAGTAATTTAACGACTTTAAGACAAATATAAGTCAGGGAAAAAAGAAAAATGGTCCTCAACCCCACATATTACTTCAGTGACATCTTCTAAAATATGACATGCACATGGTTAGAAAATATAAGCAGTTCAGGATGACAGAAAATGAAAAGTAAAGGCACCAGTTTACCCCACATCGTACTTCACCTGAAAAACACCTACAATTCCTTTGGGATTCCTCAGAGGAAAAAGTATGATTTAAAATGATTCCTCAGCCATGTGAAAGTAAAGGGTTGAATTCATAGCATCCTTTTTATAACTGGAAAACAGCTACTAGTGGATTATATAAAACACATAAACACTAGTGTTTTGGTTATAATCATATCACAGTACACTCTTATCTATCATTTTGGAATTAATCAGCCCAGGACTTACGTTTTAAAAATTAAATTGATTAAAAATAACTGTATTTTCTGGGGTTTTTTGGAAATTTCATGGTAACTCTTGACATTATAAAAATGTACTTAAGAATCATGAGAACAAATGCATTTTGAAATCATCACAATAAAAGATAAACCAAACTACTTTTTAATACTATTATTATATATCTCACTTATTAAGCTTCTTTTTTTAAATTTTATTTAGTTATTTTTCAAGTACAGTTTTTTGTCTATTTTTCCCATCCCAGCCTCCCCCACCCCTTGCTCCCCACCTCCCTCGCATTTCCACCCCCCTTAGTTCTCGTCCCTGTGTCCTTCCTATTTGTTCCTCCAAATCCCTCCCCCTTTTTCCCCTTAACTTCCCTTCCTTCTCCCCTCTTTAAGCTTCTTTTTTTAAAATTTTATTTATTTTTAGAAGGGAAGGCGAAGGAGAGAAGGAGAGAAATATCAATGTATGGTTGCCTCTCGTGCACCCTCTGCTGGGAACTGGCCTGCAACCCAGGCATGTGCCCTGGTGGGGAATCTAAACTCGATACCTTTTGGTTCGCAGGCCCACGCTCAATCCACTGAGCTACACCAGCCAGGGTTTATCTCACTTATTAAGTTTCTTATTCTATGTAACTGTTGTGTTTGGTGCCTTACAAGATAGGCCTTGTTATCTACAGCTGAGGAATCAAAATTTTATAAAGTTTACATAAATTCTTTTGGGTCAAATGCTAGTAAATGATAAAGTGAAAACATGAACTTACATTTGTTTGCCTCCAGAGTACTTGTATTATTACCTTTCTCGATTAGTATGTAATTTGGAGTGATTACTGACAAGCTGAGAAAAAAAGTCACATTTACATACAATTTCCATCCATTTCAATCCCTATCTGCACCAAAAGATTAGTACTACTTATTAACAAATGGGGAAATTTTGATTTGCAAATTCACTAGCTGTGATAAAAGTTTTTTTGATATGAGGTTCTACTTAGGGATATTATGCCTACAGTTACAGTTATAATTACAATTCCATAAAAGAAAACTATAAACTGTAATTGCTCTGGAAAAGCTCAACTCTTGCAGAGATGCCCAGGGAGCTTATAAAGAGAGGTCAAGGTCTGCCAAAACAGAATCATGAACAATTGAATAAATATCTTCAATGGGACTGAAAAACAATTAAGTCCACAGGGTTAGGTCCCTGTTTTATGTAGCCAACAGGCCAGTTATAAGCACAGACTAAAATGAAAAGTGCTATTTTTCCACAGTTGGAAAGTTTCAACAAGTCAGACTAAAAGCTGAACTGATGTCGCACTTTCTTAGCTGACTCAAAATGTTCTCAGATTTGGAAAATCATATGAAAAGTTGACCAAATTGCTGTTCACTTATTTTCCTTAATGTATCAAATTCTAGGCTGTGTTAACAGAGCCAGTTTGACACAGAATTATTTACAATACCATGGGGCAAATGCATCTGGAAGAGCAAGAGGCAATCTGATCAACTGAATGTTTTCTACTCACGCAGCACAGTGACACTCACATATACACTGCCATAAACTATAAGAACCAGAATTATTCTTGAGAAGTCATTTCACTTATTACCTGCAAGGCAGCATGACAACAGGAATTTTAAAACATTACATGAGTTTAGGGCAAAGAAACTGGCTGTTCCTTTGTGCCCAGAGATTGCACTACACACATAATTCAGGCAATGATGAGATTCACATGGCCACATGTGTCCTTGGCACAGAGTAACAGCTCACCACCTGCATAATTTATAGTGTCAGAAATTAAGACTTTAATAGCATTTAAGATTTCATAGCAATTTAAGATTTTACTAGCATTAATATAGAATGTCCTCCTGTCATTCAGGATACTTTAAAATTACAATCAGCTAGCAACATGACCAGAAATACTAATTATTACATTTTCTCACAGTTCCAAGTGTAATTAATCATTTCCAATGTGGCCTACATTTCTATACGATGAAGCTTTTTAACATGTTGAGACAGGGTGCACGCATGGCGACTGCTCATGTGGGAACTGCTTCACTGCTGGGAGGAGACCGACTTGTTTCACTTCAATAGACACACACTTTGGGGAAAGGAGGGTGAAAAACCCTCGCAAGTTCTGTTTGCAGAATTATATGCCATGTTTCTGGGAGTGTACATGCACACATTTGCATGCATTTCTTGCCATTATGAGGCAAATGCAAGACGACAAAGAAGACGACTGTCACTATCTGATGACTTTGTAAACGTTTATGAGATATTTATCCAGTCTTCAGTCAAAGTATAAAACAAGGCCATCACTGATATGTAGCAAATAGTAACACAAAACAGAAAAACAGGAACATGAAATAAGGCCATTGTCCTATAATATATACTTATCATGATTTATATAAATGTTTAAGAACCACCATTTCTGTCAGCAGCCAATCATTTCTAATGGTGGGAACAAAAACTAAACACTTCCAAGGATTTTCAGAACCAGGGCTACATTTTTCATTGGTAATTAATATTCAGTTACTATTTTAAGCAAAACATATCATTTTAGCTATATAAAGTTTTATTTGAAGGTATGTATAGCAGAAACCCATCAATTACAGTATGTTTTGCTTGATGTAGCAAGTTAGAGTACACAAAAATTCAGGAATTGGTAAGTTTCAATGAAAAGATACTTTTAAAAAAATCTCACTGATTTAAATCCAATTAGCTTGGGTTTTAAGTTAACTTCAACATGCAACTACCCTTGTGATACAAAGGGTTATGTTGACTAAAATTACCAGGTTTTTTAAAACAAAAAATGCAATGCATTTTTATTATATTAAGAGGTACAAGATTGCTTTATTTCTTCATTAACTTCATTTTATTTTTTTACTTATTTGTATATTTAATTATGATGTGTGCAGTACTTTAAAATTTCAAATAAGATCTTTCTTTAAAGTAAATTCTGGTGATAAGAAAATTCCTTATTACTCATGAATACCGGTGAAGGTTTTATTAATTTTACTAAGTTAACTAAATGACATTTAAATTAATTTCCACTGTTACTTGCTGTTCAACTTTGGCACTGTGTATTTGGTGAACTTGGGAAATCTGCGGAATGGTGGTTTTTCACAGGAACAGGGAGGAAAGATGAACTGCTTTGGAAACAGAGCGACCATATTTTGTTTCAGTCTACTTCAGTATTATGTTCAGAGCAAAACTGGCACAGGACTTGCAGAATCGATTTTAAATGCCCTTCTCTATAATTATGGTTAACATATGTAGGAAAATGTGCTTCCAAAAACTTACATTTTTACATTAGCCATGGGTTCTAGGAATTGTTCTTTTCCTGAGTTGAGGATTTTGGATCAAATTACTGGTATACGTGGAACTTTTGTGAGAATTGACATTACCATAAAATATGGTATTAGAATAGGCATATGTAAAGAATTTGATTTGGCAAATTTTAGGCGATAAAAAGTATAAAGGTGTCTTGTGTTCTCAGTGTAAGGGGAATCATATCAAGGATGTGAGAATATGCAAATAGAAAAATGATGAAAGCTGAAATTCAAAGCCAAGATTAGAGATTAAACAGCATAAAGATGATAGAGACTGAAATTTGTTTCAATGCCTGTGGTCTTGTGAAGAAGTATCTGTAACATCTTTATGCTACTAGTGTTTTTGTCTGAAATGACTGCCAAAGTGAAAACTACATGCACCGAACGCCTACTTCCAGAGACCATGCATCCTGCTTTTCTGGAGAAGGAATTTTTTTTAAACGGCTATGCTAAATGAATGACTTAGCAAGTGTGGAACCTTCCCAGGAAATGATTGCTTGGATTACATTATGGAAACTCCAAATGCTAGCAAGTCTTTAAACATTTAACAGGACTCTGCAAGAATTTCCCAACAAGGCATACAAATTTTCTTCATTAGTAAAGCTAGGAAACAGAGGGCAAAAAGTTGCCTTAACTTGTGGTTTGCTTGTTGTCATTTACATAGAGATCTAACGTTGGGTTCCCTGAGAGATAAAAGCCACTTCACATAAAACATGATTCAAATAAATAAATGAAAAAAACAATAAAAATATCTCCATTGAAAATTTCTCCAGTATTTTTATGTATAAAGTTTGTATTCTGCCTTTTATTTTTTTCCTTTTTATTGAGTTGATTGGGGTAACTATATTTATTAACTAAAATTCATTGTGCAGCCCCTTAAAGAGAAATAAAAAAGTACAGAACACTTTAGCATGTATGTTGACAAATCT